GGGAGGGAGTGAATTGTCGATTTTCTTTTTATAGCTAAGTAGTTGACTAGTTTGCTAATTAGTCGACTGAAAGTAGAAGAGAGGTAAAAATTAAAGACAGAATGTAAAGTGCCGAAACTAAATGACACAAAGTATTTTTATACAGTTTCGGATTCAATGTGAATCCTACTGCAGTCCCTTTGGGTTGCAAGAGAGTTCTCTCTTCAAAGCTCCTTGAAAACTTCGTACAAGTATGTTGATGTTATTATGAACACCAACTGCCTTTTGGTTCTATTTACACTCGTTGTAACTTTGATACAATGCCTCACCAATATTTTTCTCTTTCTTCTCTATGCTAGTTACATAGTAAATCTCACTCAGATTACAATGCTTGCTTAGAGTAGAACAAAGTATATGACTCATCTTTGCCGTTTTGTACTATATACACCTGTAGACATGTAATTTTTGACCCGCCACGTCTTCAAGCTATATTAGCAGTTTCGCATATTTTATATATTTATTTGAGTTATTTGAATATTTTCCAGGATGCTAATACACTATTCTTATTGTTATTTTATTTAGTATTTAAAAAATCGAAAAAAGCAAAACATAGTTTCAAGTCTATTTAATTTAAGGTTAATTAGTACTTAATGTAGTAATACTGTTTTCAGCTATTTTATCCATTTTTATTTTTATATAATCTTGAAAAATACCAAAAAAATAGTTTCATAATAAAATATTATTTATTTTAATTAATTAGAGTTAGTTATGTATTTTATAGTATAGATTTTACATTATTTGTAGGAAAAAGGATTAAGATTTTGGATTGGAAAAACCCAATTTCGGATAGCCCAAAACATTGGGCCCAATAACCTTTACACCCAAACTAAAACCTTTAAAAACTCCTAATTCCTACACCCTAACCTAGCAGCTAACACACACAAAAGAGATCTCTCATTCTAATTCCAAAAAGCTAAGAACAACCGATTTCCTAAAAAGGGAGAATTGATCAATTTTCTTTCCATTATTTTCAAAAGAGACTTGCAAATACAGTGAGAAGGTATCCAATCAACTCATTCAGTGAACGATGACCAACTTTCAATATTGCATTTCTTATTTGGGAAAAATTTCGAGCGAGCAACGAGGATAGTTGATCAAAGAGGCGTTAAAAGGATCTTGGGCAAACCCAGTGGTCGTTCCATCTTTCAGGTTGTTGGAGATTCAAAGAGGAAGGAGGAATATCTATGCTTTCCAGAACATTATTGTGCTTGTTATTCCTTTTTCTATGACATTGTAAACAGAGGGGAACATCTTTCTTGTAAGCATCAATTAACTGCCAGACTTGCTTCTTCATTGGGAGCATGCGTTGATTTTACGATCTCTGATGATGAGCTTGCTCTCATGCTCTCCCAGCTCTGAATGTGCAAATTCCCAGGTTCCTGGTTGGAGTTAGTTGAGGGTCTATGGCGAGATTTTCTAAGTCTGCGTCTTGTCGCGATTTTCGCTTCTGGAGAATTTTCGTTTGGACATCTTGTACATCGGTTCAGAGTTGCCAATCAACGAGAGGTTCTTTTTCTCCTTTTTAATTCTTCTGCTTCTTGATTACATTATATTTTTGGAATTTTGTCCATATTAATAAATGTTTAATTTAGATTAATACTCTCGTCATTGTGTGGTTGCAAGTATGCTAAAATCATAAATCTGTTTAATGTGTTTGACGTATTTTGTTTAGTTTAAAGTTTTAACGTCATATATAGCAATATCCGTAGATATTTCCTTGTTTCCAGTTACATATTTCATGTGCAATCCATTTGAATGCTTGAGATATGGATGTCACGTCTAGAATTATGTTTCTTAATTCTATAATAGCTAAAATGATACATGTCTTCCACAATAATTTCATACTCCATAACTCTCATGCCTTACAATAATCTTAAATTAGCTTTAGGAAAATAATTCAAGAACATCGTAGCTTGCTTTAGGCGCGATTAATAAATTATCGTGATTATGAGTACGGTTCTCGTGGCATGGTCACGATACTTAAATTCCAATTCGGTGTGCATTTCATGTGACCCGGCCACAACTTTGAATAATAATAAAATAAATATATTGTAATCGCGGGTGCATTTCATGTGTCGCGATTTGCAATGTGTACCAAAACGACAAGTGTACGACATCCTGACTTGTTCCAGAAATAATTGAATAAATAATTAAAAGCGGTTGAAAGTTAAAAATGCACAATAGGTTTAAAACATATAATTAATCAGATAATTAGTCCAATTATTAATAGTTGAGCGACCGTGCTAAAACCATGAAATTCGGGAGTGCCTCACACCTTATCCCGAGTTAACAAAATTCCTTACCCGGTCTTCTGTATTCGCGGACCAAAAAATAAAGTCGATTTCCTCGATTTGGGATTTAAAATAAACCCGTGACTTGAGACACCATAAATTATCTCAAGTGGCGACTCTGAATTAAATAAATAATCCCATTTCGATCATTATCACTTTAGTTGGAAAAACTCCCTTATATCCCCTGCGGGAAAAAAGGAGATGTGACAGCTTTGGCGACTCTGCTGGGGAACGAACCCAGAACTTCTGGTTCAGAGTTTAGAATTCGAGCTTAGAATAACTGTTATACTTGGCTTTCATTTATTATTTGATTTTTACGTGTTTGAGCCTAATGTGATAATTGTCGCTTTTTGACGCTTTGATATTCTGTGAATTTTATATAAACTATTACGAAACCCTTCTTCTCTCTGAGTCTTCTAAATCTTCTGAGAAGTGCATGCTGTCGTGTCTTCTTTTCTGTTAGTGTCATATCCTTAATTAGAACGAGATTCGGACAAGTTGCAAAGCCGGATGATCTTTTGGTTATCGGTACGCTGCCCCCTTCGGCTCGAGTTGTCCGCTCGGGTAAGCCAGGTCTAGAACAATACACCTAGATTGTAAATCTAGAATAACATAGCCTCACGCCGAATCCCTAGTAGGAGCGTTTGTTTGCATCACGTGCATTTGACTTTGGGGACTCAACATAGGGGTTGAGTCCGTCTAGGACATGTGTACCAAAATTAAAAGACCATCCTGATGCATCTTACGTGCTACTTGGGTATCTGTCTGTTTCGGCTTGCATGTTGACTGGCTTCCAGAATAGGGAAAGAAAATAAAAAAAAAGAAAATAAAGAAAATAAAAAAAAAGAAAAAAAGAAAAAAAGAAAAGAGAGTGAGAGGTAGGTTTTTGAATTATCCTGAAACTCAGCCGAAATTTTTTTAAAAAAAAAGGAAAGGTCATTTCAAAATAAGTCATATTTTCCTGTTGCGTCAAAATTGGGCGAACTACGCGGGTCTGATTCTCATCAGATGTGAGATACGTAGGCAAACGTCATCGGTTCTGGCCCACCATTTTTAAAAATCCAAAAATATTTTTCTTTACTTCCTTCTTTAGAAAAGTCTTTCTTTGAGACCCCATTTTTCAAAAATCCAAAAATATTTTTCTTTACTTCCTTCTTTAGAAAAGTCTTTCTTTGAGACCCCATTTTTCAAAAATCCAAAAATATTTTCCTTTACTTCTTTTTTTTAGAAAAGTCTTTCTTTGAGACCCCAATTTTCAAAATTCAAAAATATTTTCCTTTACTTCTTTTTTTTTTAGAAAAGTCTTTCTTTGAGACCCCAATTTTCAAAAATCCAAAAATATTTTCATTTACTTCCTTTTTAGAAAAATCTTTTTTTGAGACCCCAATTTTCAAAAAATCCAAAAATATTTTCATTTACTTCCTTCTTTAGAAAAGTCTTTCTTTAGGACCCAAATTAAAAAAAAAAAACCAAAAAGTATTTGCTTTTAATGTCTTCTAAAAATCCAAAATATTTTCATTTTTCTTTAGAAGTTTTTCATTCGAAAATTGAAAAGAAAATTCGAGATTCAAAAATATTTTCTTTAGAAGTCTTTCTTTCATAATTTTAACATAAAAGTCCAAAAGTCAAAAGATATTTTGTTTCTTCTTTAGAAGTTTTTCTTTCAAAAATTTTTTTAAAAAAAGAAAAAGAAAAAGAAAATTAAAAAAAAAAGATTTAGTTTATTTTCTTTATTCCTAATCTTCCGGAACTACACAAGATCTGATTCATGTTCCCACATGATACGTAGGCAATCCATATCAGGTTCGATCAAATGATTTTGAAAAAAGAAGAAAAGAAAGAAAAAAGAGAGGAAGAATGATAATAATAATAAGGACCGACTGAGTCCATTCTAATATGTTTTTGTTTTGAATTGTGAAGAAAGTTTGAGGTGGTCGATTTGTGGTAAGCTGAAAATACATCCATAATTCATAAGATCCAAGGGAAAAATGCCAATGACAACTAACATCGAAGCTGTTACTAGTGCTCAAGAGACTCAGGGTCAGAGGGTTCAACAAAAGTCTACTGTGGTTGAGGAAAATAGGGTACTAAAGCAGCAAATGACTGAAATGTGTCAAGAATGGGCCAATGGCCAAGGACTGCCTTTTTCTTCTCATGGTTTCCCAGAATTCACACCCATCTCGACTATTGCCATTCCGGTCTCATTGTCTGATCAATCCTATCCACTTGGGTTTAGACATATCCCAACTGTATGACTACAACAGAACTTCTGTTGTGCGCTCCTAAAGTTTTCCATTGACAACCAATTAGACAACCACTACTGTTATGCCCGTCTTCACCATCCCACAGCCGATGGTGGTACAGAAGAAAACTCATGAGTCACAATTTGCTACACAGCAAGAACAGTCCCACTCTCTTGAGTACTACTCGTACCTATTTGATCTTCATGCAAAGATGGAGAAGCCCGCCCGAAAGATGGCACAGGAAGAAATGACCCAAAGAGTGAAAAGCTTAGAACAAAAGTTGAAAAACATGCAAGGGTTGACAGGTCAGAAGAGTATTGCCTTCAAGGATCTATGTATGTTCCCTGATGTCCACTTTCCACCTGGTTTCAAGACTCCCAAATTTGAAAAGTATGATGGACATGGAGACCCCATAGCCCACCTGAAAAGGTATTGCAATCAACTAAGAGGTGCGGGAGGAAAGGAAGAATTACTGATGGCTTATTTTGGGGAAAACCCTAAGGGAGTAGCCTCCGAATGGTTTATGGATCAAGACACATCTCGCTGTTATGTATGGGATGACATGGCACAGGCCTTTGTCAAACAGTTCCAATACAATATCGACATCGCCCCAGACCGCAATTCCCCTTCAAACCTGAAGAAGAAACCAACTGAAAGTTTCAGGGAATATGCCATTAAATAGAGAGAGCAGGCAGCTAGAGTTAAGCCACCCATGGATGACCACGAGCTAATCACCGTCTTCCTTTAGGCTCAAAAGCCAGATTATTTTCAAAACATGATGTCCACAGTGGGCAAATCCTTCTTGGAAGCAATCAAGAGTGGGGAGATGGTTGAGAATAGCCTCAAGACATGCAGAATTATAAGTCAAGCATTTCTCAAAACCGCAACTCAGGCTATCTAGATTGAATCTGATAATTTTAGTGACACGAATGAGATGGATGAAGAAATCATGATGACATCAGGGTCGAGAAGAGGTCCTAGGAGAACATCTCGAAGGTATGACCAGCCTCGTCTGTTTTTTGATGATTCCCCTGAGCACTACTATCCACCTCAGAACCCATAATACTCTGTTGTTCCACCTCAGTATGTTGTCCAGCCACCAAGACACCCCAGAAAGCGATCACCAGCACCGCAAAATCTCCACCAGCCTCCACAAAATTTTCAAGTGCCCTATAACCCACATCCAAGCCAGGGGTATAGAGGGGAACAAAGGTTGAAAAATAATTTTACACCAATAGGAGAGTCCTATGCAAGCGTATATGAGAAGTTAAAGCATTATGACATGATTCCACCCATTCCTCCAAATCATGTGGACCCACGTGCAAGAAGTTTTGACCCTTCTAAAAGGTGTGAATATCATTCCAATGCCCAGGGGCACAATGTTGAAAGTTGTTGGGATTTGAAAAGAGAAATAGAAAGGATGATCTAGGAAAAACTGATTGTGATCCAAGACAGTGACACCCAGAATATCACGCAGAATCCTTTTACCTGCACATGATGATGCACACTTTATGGGGATGATGCCTGGTGACTTGAAGTATGAGAATCCTCTCGGAAATTGCCGATTAAAATTGGAGAAGTCCATGGTGATTTTGATGAGCAAATTTGTGGCTAAATGTCAAGCTTAACAATTGAAAAGTCATTACCTCATCACAAGGAAGAAATCTTGGTAGTTTGTTTTGATATTTTTTCTATTATCTGGGTTATTTCAGGGTTGTGATCCAGATTTCATTTGTTTTATTGAGTCAAACCCTTCTATCCCTCTATTCTATTTGTGCGAGTCTTATCTATCTGGGTTTTATTGCTATTTTCATTAGTCGGCTTATTTTAGAGTTGTAACTCGGATTTTAGGTTATTTGTCTTTTTGTTTACCCATTGAAATACAGTTTGTCCTTTTATGTCATTCCATGCTTAGTTCTTTTCCTGCTAGTTTTAGTGATATGACATGCATGTGGAATTTTTGGCCAGATCTTAAAAAATTGATTTAAGCTTGAATTGGATAACCGAGAAAAAGACATTTTTGTAGAAGAATCAATTGAAGTTTTTTTTGGAAGTTTGACGTTAATGGATGAAAGGTGTCTTTCGACCATGACACACCAAGAAGATAGGCATGTTCATCGATGATGTGATCGCAAAAAGGATACTATGTTTGGCGTTCTCAAGGTTGGGAGACCCTTTTTCTGCTATCCAAATAGTTTATACCCTTTGTTATTTTTAGCCTGTATTATTTTTTTTTACCACCCTCTTTTGGAATTATGTTTAGAGTCAAAAGTCCAAAAAAAAATATAAAAAACAAAAAAAACAATAAAAGTGCATGACCCAAGAGTACAAACTGGGGCAGCTCTTTGGAAGTTCAAGTGAAAAAAGAAGAAGAAGAAGAAAAGAACTGTCGAAGGTCCATGCCCCCCAGAAGATACAAGTTGGGGCAAACAAAAAGAAGAAAAAAAAAGAAAAAATAAAAGGAAAAGAAAAAAAATAGAAAGAAAGATGACAAAAATTAGTTAGGTTAGATCTTTGAACTACGTTTGACCGGATTCCTTAAAAAAAGATACGTAGGCAGCCTTACACGGTTCGGTCAAACCAAATAAGAATTAAAAAAAAAACAAAAAAAAAAATCCCCAGTATCTGAAACTGGGGCAGAGATTTTATTTCACTTTTGAAGGAGTCGATTCCAAGAGTTGTAAGTGTACAACCCATCATATTGAGTCTACTTTGAGCCTTTATGCTATCCTTTCTTTCCAACCCTATCCAAAAACCTCCCAAATAAAGACCTCATGATCAACCTTCAAGAATGCCAAGAGACGCATGCAATGAGCAACAGTTGTCGCACGACGTAGAACACTGTCGAGTTGCTCACAAAAAAGAGGGAAAGAAAAATAAAAATAAAAATGAGAGAGTCTTATTAGTAAAATTCTTCACGGGCACTGTAAGATGACGGTAAGCAGAGATGAATAAATGAGAGAGACTTGTTGGTGAAAACCCCTCGGGGCACCACTAGTCGAAAGTGAGAGATGAAGTTTATGCAAAGAATTGACACAAACAAGACCGACTTCAAAGGTCATAAGAATGGTAAAAGGAAAGATTGGATTAGTTTGATAGATCAGACCGTTAAGTCCAAAATGAATGTCATGATCATTAAGGCTAGTTAGCGCAAAAAAAAATGAAAAAAAAAACTCTTCCCTCTTTTCTTCCCGACAGGGGCATTTTTTGTTGATAATGTTTATTTGCATCATTGTGTCCCTTCACTCTGAGTCGGTCCTTGTCAAAACAAACAAGAAAAGATTTCAAAATCTGCTACCAGCTTTTCTGTTGCACAAAGTAAATTTGGCCAGCACACTCAGTTGTTACTGTTAACATGCCTTGAGGCTTCATGCAAAGTCTTCTTCCCAAAAGACTCTTGTCAGCCTACTTGGCGCAAGCAAAGATAGCTTGTGATTCTCTCTAACAGACAAATTGCTCAAAAGCAGGAAGTCATTCAAGATATTAGAAAAGGTCACATAAGCAAAGATCTCCAGTCGGGATAAGCTTGATTGAGCCTCAAAACACCAATGGAATTGGGAGCAAAACAATCAGGATTGATACAGAAAGGAAAGGTCCCTTGAAAGCAACAACAGAGTCTCCCAATAGTGTAGGCAACTACCAATATAGTCGGTCCTCTAAAAAAGAATGGACACAAAGCTAAGCTGCACAAGACTCAAGGCCACAAACTGACCACCACTTTTAAAATTGACAAAGTCTTCTTTGTTTGAAACAGGAACAAACCAGTGCAAGGAAAGTAGTACAAAAAAAATGAAAAATGAAAAGAATAGAAGAGCCGACAAAGAGAAGTTTCTCAAATCTTTGTCTTTTTCTATCTTGCTCGTGTGCATAAAATTTTGCCATTTGCTCGTCACATTTTGCCTCCTAGGATAAAAAGTCCTAGTCTAATAGATTTTCCTCACAATAAAAATCTTAGTTTGATGAATTTTTCTCCTAAGATAAGAAAACCTAGTCTGATGAATTTTCTCCTAGGATAGAAATCTTAGTCTGATGAATCTTTCTCCTAAGATAACAAAAAAAGGGACCTAGTCTGATGAATTTTCTCCTAGGATCGAAATCTTAGTCTGATAAATCTTTCTCCTAAGATAGAAAATCTAGTCTGATGAACTTTCTCCTAGGATAAATTCTTAGTCTGATGAATCTTTCTCCTAAGATAGAAAACCTAGTCTGATAAATCTTTCTCCTAAGATAGAAGACCTAGTCTGATGAACTTTCTCCTAGGATAGAAATCTTAGTCAGATGAATCTTTTTCCTAAGATACCAAAAAAAAAAAAACCCCTAGTCTGATGAATTTTCTCCTAGGATAAATGTTTTAGTCTGATGAATCTTTCTCCTAAGATTAAAACCTAGTCTGATGAATTTTATCATAGGATAATTTTAAAACCAAAAAGGGGAAGTCTGGATTTGAAAAAAAAGGTCAATTTTTAGTTTTCTTAAGTTATTAATCTTTAGTTTTCTTGAAATCAGGAGTCCCGCCTAGAGAATAGGGTCAATTTTTATTTTAGTCAAGCTTAGTTTATAGTTTTCTGCAAGCTCAATCTTAAATTTAGGAGACGCACTTCCTAGTCTAGGTCATTTAGGGTTTTTAAGCAGACCATTTGCAAGTTGAAATTTTCTTGGTTTTACTCACAGGAGACGCACATCCTAGCCAAGTCTTCAATTTTACTCTCATCATTGCATCCTTTATCAATAGCATATGTGATTTATTGTTCTGCTAATAACTCATAAATCTTCCTAGTGCAAATTGGGGCAGAAAAGTTTCTTTGTTTTGTCTGTTTTGCTGTAGTATCAGGCGCCCACCTGGAGAATAAGGGTATTTATTTCAAGAGTTTCAAGTTTTAAGTTAGTGCCAGGTGCCCACCTGGGGAACGAGAGAACTCATTTCAGAATTTATTTCAGAGTCATTTGAAGTTTCAAGTCAGTAGCAGGCGCCCATCTGGAGAATAAGGGAATTCATTTCAAGTTCCAGTCAGAGACAACAAGATCCCTCCTGAAGAATAGGGGCAACCTCCAGTCCTTTTGTCAATTCAAGTTAGAAGTAGCAGAAGCTTGCCTCAAGAATGAGGATCGACAAGAGTTCGAGATAACCAAAAGAAGAATAAAAGAAAAAAAAGAAAAAGAAAAAGAAGTGAACTCAAAGTGCAGAAGTGGAGAAAAGATTTGGACTGCTTAAGACGTGATTGAAGTCACAAACTTTGCATGTCCCGCCTTGATCCGAGAAGTTATGAAAGGAATGAAACAGCACCTACAGCTAACAAACATCAAGATTCAGATCAGAGTCCACATGAAGAACCAACCTAGACTCAAGATCAAACTTTAGAAGACTTATATATAGGAATCTTGTAACTCGTAGCTGATAGACTTAGTTAGTCTTTTTTATAATTTTGATTTTTGATGTAATAACAGGACCACAGACTGGAGCTTCAGACGGAACCTCACTCGACTCTCTCATCCTCTTCACACACTCCATCACCTCATTCACTTATGAACTACACGTGGCCTAATTCCTTTATAGCCAAGGATATATAGGCAACTCAGATATCAGGGCTCGGTCACATTCTCTTTTCTTTTAGTTTTTGGTCTCTCTAAATAAGGGTCGGGTCAAAAAACCTGTCTCGTCGTTCTTTGTCTGAAAACTCTTCATGTTTCCAGTCAAATAAGGGCAACTTTAGACATGTAATTTTTTACCCGCCACGTCTTCAAGCTATATTAGCAGTTTCACATATTTTATATATTTATTTGAGTTATTTGAATTTTTTCCAGGATTCTAATACACTATTCTTATTGTTATTTTATTTAGTATTTAAAAATCGAAAAAAGCAAAACATAGTTTCAAGTCTATTTAATTTAAGGTTAATTAGTACTGAATGTAGTAATACTGTTTTCACCTATTTTAATCTAATTTTATTTTTATATAATCTTGAAAAATACCAAAAAATAGTTTCATAATATAATATTATTTATTTTAATTAATTAGAGTTAGTTATGTATTTTATAATATATATTTTACATTATTTGTAGGAAAAAGGAATTAAGATTTTGGATTGGAAAGACGCAATTTTGGATAGACCAAAACATTGAGCCCAATACCCTTTCACCCAAATTAAAACATTTAAAAAACCCCTATTCCTACACCCTAACCTAGAAGCTAACACACAAGAGATCTCTCATTCTAATTCCAAAAGCTAAGAACGTCCGATTTCCCAAAAAAGGAGAATTGATCAATCTTCTTTCCATCATTTTCAAAAGAGACGTGCAAATACAGTGGGAAGGTATCCAATCAACTCATTCAGTGAACGATGACCAACTTTCAATATTGCATTTTTTATTTGGAAAAAATTTCGAGCGAGCAACAAGGATAGTTGATCAAAGAGGCGTTAAAAGGATCTTGGGCAAACCTAGTGGTTGTTCCATCTTTCAGGTTGTTGGAGATTCAAAGAGGAAGGAGGAATATCTATGCTTTCAAGAACATTATTGTGCTTGTTATTCCTTATTCTATGACATTGTAAATAGAGGGGAACAACTTCTTGTAAGCATCAATTAGCTGCCAGACTTGCTTCTTCGTTGGGAGCGTTGGGAGCTTGCGTTGATTTTACGATCCCTGATGATGAGCTTGCTCTCATGCTCTCGCAGCTCTGAATGTGCAAATTCCCAGGTTCCCGGTTGGAGTTAGTTGAGGGTCTACGGCGAGATTTTCTAAGTCTACGTCTTGTCGCGACTTTCGCTTCTGGAGAATTTTTGTTTGCACTTCTTGTACATCGGCTCGGAGTTGTCAATCAACGAGAGGTTCTTTTTCTCCATTTTAATTCTTCTGCTTCTTGATTCCATTATATTTTTGGAATTTTGTCTATATTAATGAATGTTTAATTTATATTGATACTCTTTTGTGGTTTCAAGTATTCTAAAATCGTAAATCTGTTTAATGTGTTTGACGTAATTTGTTTAGTTTAAAGTTTTAACATCTTATATAGCAATATCCGTAGATGTTTTCTTGTTTCCAGTTACATATTTCATGTGCAATCCATTTGAATGCTTGAGATATGGACGTCACGCCTAGAATTATGTTTCTTAATTCCATAATAGCTAAATTATACATTTCTTCCACAATATTTCATACTCTATAACTCTCATGCCTTACAATAATCTTAAATTAGCTTTAGGAAAATAATTCAAGAACATCGTAGCTTGCTTTAGACGCGATTAATAAATCATCGTGACTGTGGGTTACGGTTCCCGTGGCATGGTCACGATACTTAAATCCCAATTCGGGTGTGCATTTCATGTAACCCGACCACAACTTTGAATAATTATTAAATAAAAATATTGTAATTGCGGGTGCATTTCATGTGTCGCGGTTTGTAATGTGTACCAAAACGACAAGTGTATGACATAGTGACTTGTTCCATAGATAATTGAATAAATAATTAAAAGCGGTTGAAAGTTAAAAATATACAATAGGTTTAAAACATGTAATTAATCCGATAATTAGGCCAATTATTAAAAGTTGAGCGACCGTGCTAAAACCACGAAATTCGGGAGTGCCTCACACCTTCTCTCGGGTTAACATAATTCCTTACCCGGTTTTCTATGTTCGCGAACCAAAAAATAGAGTCATTTTCCTCGATTTGGGATTTAAAGAAAATCAGTGACTTGGGACACCATAAATTATTCCAAGTGGCGACTCTGAATTAAATAAATAATCCCATTTCGATCATTGTCACTTTAATTGGAAAAACTTCCTTATATCCCCTGCGGGAAAAAAAGAAGTGTGAACACACCTTGAGAGATCTGCTTTAATTTAATTGCGGTAGATCTTGAGATTTGAAGTCCCAAGGGAATTGATCTTTGGAGTGAATCAGAGTTGATTCATTCCAAGAATAAGTGCGGAGCCTCCTTGATTTGAATCTTGATCGACAGGGCTTTCCTTCTGCGAGCGAATCCCACTTCAACAACTAATGTTTGATTAGTCCTTTGATTTCGGAGTTTAGCAACTTTCCTTTAAAATATATATCTTTAGTGTTTCAATGACTATGATAGGCGGATTCTCAGAAGTCTTGGACTCCTCCAATTTTAGACCTTTCTTTCTTTCTTCCTTCGCCTGAGTTGTCAGATCTTTGCAAATCTTTTCCTTCTTTCTTTTACTCCTTTCTTTCTCGTCTTCCTGATAGTTTTTCTCTCGTTCTTCTTTGCTCCTGGAATGGACCTACAAATAAAGATATATTATTTTTTATCATTGAAACTTGGATCTAATAATCTTCCCCTTTTATGATGATCAATAACAGATAAAAGCAGTTTACTTCCCTGTCTATATTAAACGAATCTTCTTTTGCGGTTCCTCAATTGGACATCTTCATTGTGGCTGTGTGATAGTTGAATCCCCCTTAACTTGGAATCCATTCAAAAAGTTGTACCTATTCTTATTCTCCCCCCGGCATCAACAAAAAGCATTATACTAGCAAAAATATATTAAAACAAGCAGTAGTAAACTAGTTAGTTATGCTAGGGAAGAGATAGTCTTAACAGTGCAAACCAAGACTGGAAAGTCAGTCCAAAAAAAAAAACAAAAAAATTGTCTTAAACATCCATCCATCCACAAACTTAGTGACGTAGAAAATATGTGAAAGTATTGCTGATAGCCTCCTTCAAACGATCAAAGCTAGCATTCATGGTGACTGATATCCCATCGATCCTGTCATGCACTTCCTTGAAGTCTTTGATTGCGTTCTCTGCTATCTTAAGAATATGGACACTTATCTTGGACACATCAGAACCCGTCTCCTTGGAGATGTTATGAATATCTCAAATGGTTGATTGAGTAGAGACTAGCAGATCCTTGATGATGGTTAGCTTGTTGTCAATAGTGGTTAACTTTTTCACAAGATCAGGGTTACTAACACTAGGATGAGAAAAAACACTTTGGCTTTGGATTTAGTTTGAACAACCTTACCTTCTCCTTCTTGCTTCTTTACCCAAGTACCCTTCACAGCAACGTATCCCATGCGGCCAAAGGCTTTGGAGTTGTAGGATCTGGTGACTAAAACAAAGGGATAGTTGGAAAAAGAGATGTTGTGTGCTTCGAGAAGATTGGTGATAACCATACCGAATGGAAGACTTGTAGGATCATCAACACTCTCAATCATGAAGTTGATAACCCAGGAGGACAACTTAACTTTGTGCTTGGTCACAAGTCAATAAACAAGAAAGGTATCCCATTGGGAGAAAGTAGAGAATGAACTAGTACGGGGAAGAATGGTTGTAGCCATAATGTGTGCGAGAACTCGGGTTTCAAAACTAATATCATTGGGACCTAACTAACTGGGAAGGGAATCAATAGGTGACTCAACTATGCAATGGTTTGCTTGGTCAAAGGAAATTTCAAAGTCTTCAGGCCAAGTATTTTTGAACAACATAGAAAATCCAGAATGATTACACTGAAAAATTGAATCAAACAGGGCACAATCTAGAACAATATGCTTACTAAGAACTTAAAGTTCTAACTTTTCAGGTTTTGGAGAACGAAGATTTGCATAATATATCCTAACTGGGGCTTCATAAACATTTGGAGGAGGTAGAGAGAGAAAATTTGTCCAACCTTAAAAATCGAAGAGGTCCTTTACCTTACGGTTGAAAGCTTCCATGTCATTCAAATCAATAACCCTACCATGGGCTATTGGTTTATCCTTGAATGCGATGAAGGTGTCTCTGTTTAGGGTGTCTCAGAAGTTGATATTAGAATATAAAGAACTCATGAGGTCTGCTTTGGGGTTCTATTGGAGTGAGGGATTCAAGATTTTCTTCCATGGGGCATTTGCCTAGGGCTTTTTTATTCAAGCTATGCGTATTGTTGGAGAGTTCTGCCTAAGAAGAGGCTAAGTCTTCGGAGTGGTCTGACCCTAAATCGACTGGTTCTGGAGGTTATGATGTTGGTTTTGCTTTGGAGCGAGTACTCGTTCTAGTGGAGGTAGAGAGGTTTTTGGAGTTTTTCGCCATTGATAAGTTGGGAAGAAGGGTTTCAGAGTGATAGTACCAATGTGAGAGAGTGAGAGTGATGGAGGGAACTAAAAAGGGTGAATTTGACGGTTGAGTGCAGAAAAGGAAAAGGCGTCGGTGAATAGATGTGATGATTGATTTCCTTTCCGGAGAGTCGTGATCAATGTGAAAATGAGGGAAAACAGAGGCCCATAATTAATAACTCTTACACGGTAACGATCCGGCCCGTCATTT